GGCGGGCGCGGGCGGCCAGCAGCAGGCGGAGGGGAGGTGCGAGGCGGGCGCCGCCCCCGGCCCCTCCCCGGCCCTCCCTGCGCCGCTTTCCGACCGCGGGCGGCCCAGGGGCGGGCGCGCCGCTGCATCCCCATCCTCGTCGTCGCCCGGCACAGCGCTAGCGGGCGAGCGGGCGGTCGGAGCGCGGCGGGCGGAGCGCCGAGGCCCGGCCATGGCCACCACCAGCACCACGGGCTCCACCCTGCTGCAGCCCCTGAGCAACGCCGTGCAGCTGCCCATCGACCAGGTACCCCGGGGCGCTCCGGCGTCTGGGGCGTCGCGCCCTCGCCGTCCCTCTCGGCTGCCATGCCACCCGCCCGGGGGCCCGGGAGGAGGGTGGGGGCTGGGGCCGGGCGCCCGGGTGCCACTCTGCCCGCCTCCCTGGAAGGAAGGGGACGACAAGCCCGTTATTGTCCCGGAGCCCCTCGCTCCGGGCTGCCCCCTCCTCGGCGTGCGCCCCCGTCCTTCCCCGGCCCCGGGCGGGGGTGGGCACGGCGGCGGTGCCGGCGGCAGCCCGCTGGGGAGGGCTCTTTATCTAGACGTGCGCGAGTGCATGCTTGCCCCTGCCGTCCGCGGCCGCGGCGCTCGGACCGGGCGACCCGGTCCTGGAGCCGCCCGCGGTGCACATTGACAGGGGTGCGGAAGGCCGTGGCCGCGAGGCCGGCGGGGGTGCCCTGCCCGCGTGTGGCGCCCGGCAGCCTCCGGAAAGGCCGATGCCTGGTCCGGGTGTGAAGGGCGCCTCGGAGACGGCGTGGATGGGCGTGAGGGGCCGGCGAGGCTGAGGCGGTACCGCACTTTGGGGACAGTTTGCATTGAAGTGTGGTTTAAGAGAAACCGAGAGGCAACAGTTTGGGGAAGGCAGAGAGGTGCTGAGGAAAAGTCAGTGAGTGAATCCCAGGATTCTGTCTGAGAAAGTTGCAACCTTGTGGACTGAAACAGCCACCCTGCCGCCTCCTCCAGCCCTCAGGAACGCTTTTGACGACGTCTAGGGAAGGGTGGCATTTAAATGAGGCCAATCAAGTTTGATTGTTTCCTGGGCCTAGGGATTACTGAGAAATAAACTGTATTGTGATGCGAAAAGCAGCGCCATTTTTATTCAGGAAAGAAAGTTTGGGAGTATTTTGCCGAGAGTGTGAGATTTAGGGGAGTTGTTGATGGGGTATATCTAGATAATGCTCTAGCCCCAGGCTAGAGGTAATTGGAAATTTTACTTGCAAATGTTTCTGGAGTACTTGATCTGGAAGTGTTTGTGCTTCACAAGGGATACTGGTTCACTGTCCTTGGCTCGGAAGTGTTGCTGTTATTTAGTCTTCAGGGATTTCATTTATAATACAGGATTCGTCCATGTCCGGACTGCTTTTCATAAGAGCAAGCTGGAAACCTAACATTATGATACTAACTGCTTTGTGCTTTTCTGTTTTAAATAAAATAGACTTAAGTATGTCGGAATTAAAAAATTCTGCCTTCTGTTGAAATCTGAATTCTTCACTTATATTTCAAGCATAACTTTTGGTTAATAAATAGTAAGGTACCTACTCCCCCCCAACATATCTTGAACAGTAGTTATAATGTGTATCATTCTAATAAAGTACCGGTAGTGAAATTTATCCTGTATTTTAAGAAAATATTCTGTTTATTAATAAAGATCAGAAGTTGGGATTTTTAGTCTTCTCAACCCTGTGGAGGATTCCCACTGTTTTCCAACCTGAAGTGCAATGTGTGACCTTTTAGCATATTACACCTCTGACTTAAATAGGTTGCTGTCAGTGTACTAGAAAATAGAGTGGGTATTTGTTAAAAAAGTTTTCTTGCTGATGAGCAAGGGAAATAGGCTTATACCTTTACATTTCTTTTTGGGAGACAGATACATACTTAGATTCTTTCTCTCTGCCATAGACATGCCGTTCCCCTGCCTTGATGAAATATTTTCTTTACTGTGCTAATAAAACTTTTAAATTATATAATGCTTGTAACCTTTTAAAGTGACTTAATAATAATGAACTCATTTAAACATCTCGGCAATCCAGTACTTTTTCAGTACTGAAATAAACAGGAGAATCAAGGGAAAGTGACAGGATTTAAAACATTTTTGACTTTTCTTCTTTATTGGCTAATGGTCTTAACTTGGTACACGGGGACTACTCTAAATTTGTATAACCATGTATAACCCTGAATTTGTATACCCATTTGTATAGTACAGTCGTGTGCCACATAATGTTTTGGTCAATGTCGGACTGCGAATACAACAGTGGTACCATATGGTTATAATGGAGTTGAAAAATTCCTATTGCCTAGTGATGTCGGAGCTATCATAATGTAGCACTATGCATTACTCACGTTTTTGTGGTGATGTCGGTGTAAACAAACCTACTCAACTGCCAGCTGTATAAAACTATAGCACATAAAATTATGTATAGTACATAATACTTGATAAGTACATGTTTATAAGTTTATTATACTTTTTACTATTTTAGACTGTATTCCTTCTATTTATTAGAAAAAAGTAAGCTGTAGAATAGCCTCGGGCAGGTATTTCAGGAGATATTCCAGAAGAAGGCATTATTATCATAGGACATGACAGCTCCTTGCATGTTGTTGCCCCTGGGTACCTTTCAGTGGGACAAGATGTGGAGCTGGAAGATAGTGATACTGATGATCCTGACCCTGTGTAGGCCTAAGTTAATGTGTGTGTTTATGTCTTAGTTTATAATGAAAAAGTCTTTTAAGTAAAAAAAATTTTTTAATAGAAAAAATCTTACAGAATAAGATTATAAAGAAAGAAAATATTTTTGTACAGCTGTACAATGTATGTTTTAAGCTAAGTGTTACTACAAAAGTTAAAAAAATTAAATTTATAAAGTAAAAGTGTTACAGTAAGTCAAGGTTAATTTATCGAAGAAAGAAGAATACTTTTTATAAGTCTATGTAGTCTAAGTGTACAGTGTTTATAAAGTCTACAGTAGTGTATAGTAACATCCTAGGCCCTCACATTTACTCACCCCTCACTCACTGACTGACCCAGAGTAACTTCTAGTCCTGGAAGCTCTATTCCTGGTAAGTGCCCTATGCAGATATGCCATTTTTTTAATCTGTTATACCACATTTATACTGTACCTTTTCTATATTTAGGTATGTTTAGATCCACAAATACTTATTGTGTTACAGTTGCCTACAGTATTCAGTATAGTAACATACTATACAGGTTTATAGCCTAGGAGCAATATAGCTTAGGTGTGTAGAAGACTATACCATCTAGGTTTGTGTAAATACAGTCTGTGATGTTCGCACAACAGTGAAATCACCTAAGTATGTGTTTCTCAGAATGTATCCCCATCATTAGGCGACACATAACTGTATTTGAGTTGTTTCTCTTCTCTAAGCCAGTCTTAAGAATATTGGATTAATACCACGGAGTTGTTAACTTTCACAGTGACAATCAATTGTTTCTTTGAAGCATCTAAGAGTTGACTTTTTGTTGATGAAGCTCTTGGAATAAATAACAACTCATTTTGTAAAATTGGATGCATAAATAGTCACTTTGCTATTTTAGAATTGAGCATAGTAGGACATTTTTATAACCCATAAATGACTTAGTCAAAATTAAGAGAAAAACCTAAGAATTGGTTGTAATCAAATAGTGTGATTCAACAGGAAAAAGACAAATCAGGAAATGAAAGTGTAAAAATATAACTTGTTATCATGTTAATTTGGTATGTGCTAATTAACAATGTTTAGAAAAATTAGGAAATTTTAAAAGCAGTTGTTTGACGTCATAGGAAGAAAAGGACTTCAGGGTAAGAAAAAGTTAACTTTTTTATTACTACAGTAAGTATAAGGATTTATGAAATGATAGAAACTATTGGTATGTATGTATATAACAATGCACCTTGTAGGGCAACGTAGCAGAGAAAGGAGGAAGTGTTTTGCAATAAGGCTGAGGCCAGTAAAGGAAAAGGAGCAAAAGATGTTGCCTTAGGCTCCTAGTTTGTTTAATCTTTAATGAGAATTCCAGACTGACCTTGAGGTAGCCATAGGATTTGTTTAGTAGGCCTTAAATTTAAATAAAAATATAAAATCTATTATCAAGTGAGGTTACCTGATTTTTTTAAGACAGGAAGTCTAGCATCTGATGTTTTCCCCTTTGTTGGCCTTGCTTTCCAGATGATGTTATTTCTAGGGTAAAGTTTAGTAGGTGGTTATGATTAAAGGGATATGTGGAGAGTGGGTTTTGAGGAAGGAATTGAACTAAGGGAGAGCTGTGCCAAGAAAAGGGCCTAACATGCTATCTCGAAGGTATCTGATAGCATTGAACATAATTGTGTTCTTTTTTAGTTGCTGACGTGCTGGATTTTTAAGACTCCAAAGCAAGTACCAAAATGAAATGAGAGAATATTTAAATGTCCCAAATCAACTTAATTTTTAGAGTGTTTTTTTTCCCCAGTCTTAACATATCATATGTTCTATTACATTTGACTTGTCTAACACTGAGCTACCAGACTGACGTTGCTATCTAGACTGTCCCCTTTCACCCTCTCTTTCTTTCTGTTGTTTTTAACCATTTTCTGTCCATATTTCTTATGATGCTGTAATTACTACTAAGAAACTGGTTTAAATTTTCCTAGTGATGTGATATCCAGGATGGCATACTTGGCAGAGGCCAGTTGAGGGATGAGTTTGGCCTGTATAGAGTCATTGAACAGCCCTGTTTTGGGGCATGGGTCATTGTTTTAGACATAGTGTGCTGAACTCTTTGGGCAGGGAGAATCAAGGTACTTTGAAAGGTTTGGAGGAGGAAGAAAAAGATGGTTGGGGGAAGGAGGAACTGTTATATTACTAGTCCTGCAAAGTCAGGTAATAATTATAATGCCTAACACTTTACAGCTTTCAAAGCTCTTTCACATACCTTATATTATTTAATCAAATCCTCACAACGCCTTGTGAAGTCAGGTAGAACTCATGGTATTTAGCTTCAGGTGTGTATGTGTGTGTGGTATTAAACATTTGAATAAAAAAGGTCAAGTTTAGTTTATAGTCTTAAGATGTGGCAAATATTTTTGGTAGATCATTTTTTTAGATCTGGGCTGTCAACACATTTTTAGAGGGGGAAGTGGAGAGCAAGAACTTCTAAAGGCCCCTGAAGCCCACACTGGTTATGGTTATGGTTGAAATAAGAAAAATGGGTGTGTTTGTGTGTGTGTTGTGTGTGAGAGAGAGAGAAGTGTGGAGGTTTATGAAGTCCTTGTTTTC